CGAGCTCGGACTTAGGGAGCTCGGGTTTTAGGGAGCTCGGACCTTTGACAGGGAGCTCGCTCTTAACAAGGAGCTCGGACCAAGTACAACGGTATGGAGTTCGGGCTCGGTAGTGAGTTTGGACTTGCTTCCGATGTTCGCTTTGGGTGCTCTACTGTCTCGAGCTGCTTGCCTTTGCCACGTGTCGGGCGATTGCGAGGTCGGGCCAAATTTCCCTTCATCAGTATAGCTAATCAATTAGCTAAACCATAAGGGTAGTTTAAGAAATTTTCCCTTATTGATTTTAGAAATAGAACTTAGGGTCCGTTTGATTTGCAGTTGGAATCGGAATCAGAATCAGAATCAAAATCCTCTAGAATTGGAATCGGAATGATCCATTCCCATAATCTGTTTGGTTCTGACAGGAATAGAAATGAAAATTAAAATCAGCAAGAATGTGACTTCGTTCCCAAGGAAGGGGCAGGGAAATACCATTCCCTCAATTGGGGGAATACCATTCCAACCAAACAGTTGGAATCGGAATAGCTCTAGACCCCTATTCCCACGAGCTAAAAGGGTTCTTATAATCTGGCTAACTTACTCTTATAATGATTCAATTTTGAACAATTTTAGTAGTAAAGTTTTCTCACATCACTCTAAACAACGCTACAACTACCTTTCAATTGAGATGAATTAGAAATTCTTTGTATTTATCCATCCTGTAATAAAAAACTAGCTGTCATAAGAGGAAATAACTAAGGGCGGTATTCTACATGAATTGCTTTTCTTGTCGTGACTTATAAGAATAAATAAAAACCATCTGATTGAAAATCATGTTGGTTGTTAAAATAAAAAAATACAGAAAACATGTTCTTTGTTGTATTTTTCGTTTCTGAAACTAAAACCAAATTCATGTTTTTGAATTTTTGGTTTGAAAAAATATGTTTTCATCTGGTCGACTTTCATGTTTCATAAATCGTATATGACAACTTTTATACTCTTATATTTGTTTAATGTTTTTTTAATACAAATCTGACTTGTTTTGCTTCTCAAAAACAATTCCAACTGCCCCCACACCCCCCCCCCCCCCAAAAAAAAAAAAATCAATGTTTTTGAAACTATCAAGTTGATTGTTTTTTAAAATAAAAGCAAATTTTGAAGTCCAGATAAGCAGGATATTAAATATCTAGATTAAAACATGTTCCTTAAAAAGAAATTCATTAGCACATTTTCTTTTGTTTTGATTTTTGAAACAAAAAACACATACACAACTAATAACATGCCTTCTGTGTTTTTATTTAAGAACTAATTTGTTTTCAAATTAGGGGTGTTCTACAAGGTGAATGCTTTTGTTTACATGTGTTTTTAAAATTGCCACATTAGCGAAAAAAAACATATAAACATGCTTTTGAACTATGTTTTGATTTGAGAAGCAAAAATAAATTGATTTTGTTTCAATAAAAAATGATTCTTGTTTTTGAATCCATAAAATGATGGTTTTTCCAAACAAAAACAAATTTTGGAGTACAGGATTGTATGATTTATGAAAGATGAAAGAGATTATTAGACAATAACATGTTTTTCAGACCAAAATTTCAAGAACGTGTTTTTGGTTCTAGTTTTGAAACAAAGAAACAACATATACTCTATGTTTCTATTTTTATTTATTTTTTATTTTAAGAATCAACTTGTCTTTCAAATCAAATGATTTTGATTTACCTTTTAGAACTCACAACAAGAAAAACGGTCTACAACAAAGAACACCCCCTAAATGGTTTTGATTTGTTTTTAAAGCACAACAAGAAAAACAATTCACATTGTATAACACCCCATAAATGCTAGATAGTTTTGATTTGTTTTTAGAAATCACATTATAATTATGCGATAATTTACTTGGTAATTTTACCTTTTTTTTTCAAATTACCATGAAGGAAATTTTATAGAGCCATATGATGGGTCCGGATCTAGTAGGCACATTAGGTAAGCACAATGAATGAGCACCTAATAGCTGTGTGACACTTGTCCCAGCTAATGTGCCTCTCATCCAAACGTTTTTGCTCCATTAGACTAGAATGATCCGTTATCTTATTATTTTGTCAAAATAATTAAAAATAAAAATGAAAGAAAGGAAAGCCTAAACATGTTGGAAGTTGGAACTCTTTGGACTCTCTCCAATCTTCTTCCGTTTAGGGTTCTCTCTCTCTCTCTCTCCGGTACCAACCTTCAACAGCTGCATACGAATTCTCTCATACCACAGCTTTTCCTAGCCATCTTCTCCTCATCTGCTGTTTGCAATTGAAAAGAGGGTTTTGAACCAAGTTGAGTAGGCCTTCATCATTCCTCTCTAGAGATTCTTCTTCTTCTTTGCTTTACCGGAAGAAGAGAACTTCTAAAGGTTGGAGTTGGAATTTTGTGGTTGAAGGTTGAAGTTTGAGAGAACTTGGTTGTAGCGGCTGAAGGTCGGAGTTGGGAGAACCCTAAACAGCAGAAGGTTGTAGAGAATCCAATGAGTCCCAACATGTTTAGGCTTTCCTTTTTCTTGTTTTTTATTTTTAATTATTTAAACAAGGGAAATTGTCTAAAACTCACCATGAGTTTTCAACAATTCTCTTAAACTCACCACAACTTTTCAAAATGTCTAAAACTCACCATGTCACTTAATTTGTGATGGATGAAAAAAATACAATAAACTCTAAGGCTATGTTTGGGTTGAAGGAAAATGTAGGGAAAAGGAAGGGAAAAGTAGGAAAATGGAAACAAAAAACCTAAATAAGATTTGTAAAGATTTCCCTACTTTTTCCTTTAGGCTCCGTTTGGTTTGTGGGAAGATTTGGGTGGGATGGGATTGGATGAGAAAGTGTCAAAATTTAACTTTCCATTGTTTGGTTTTACATGGGAAAATAGTAGGAAAATTACCCAACACCAAATAGAGATCTCGGAGGTTCAATCCACAAAGATCAATCCGCCCTCATCGTCGGTGAATGCCTTGGTGAGGATCGTCATCAACAGTGTTGCCTCGTGCGAAACTAGAATCAACAGATTCCTCCGATCTAGGTTTTACCATGGCGGCAGATTCCTCTTGCTTACTTCATGCATATGCTTTTAATAGGTTGAGATGGCCAATGACTATATTGGTGAGGAAGTCGAGAAGCTGGTGGCTGCAATCCCAGAAGGAGGTGTTCTACTCCTTGAGAATGTTAGGTTTTACAAGGAGGAAGAGAAGATCGACCCTGAGTTTGTAAAGAAGCTAGCTTCTCTTGCTAACCTGTATGTGAATGATGCATTTGGCACAACTCACAGAGCCCATGCTTACAACAGAAGGGGTTACAAAGTTCCTGAAACCATCTATTGTTGGTTTCCTTATGCAAAAGGTAGAAGGGCAGCAACGATTACCAGCAGTAGCGATTACTAACAATGGTGGTGGCGGCAGCATTGAGAAGGGTAAAGACGATTACCAGCAGTGGTGGTGACAATTACCAGCAACGGCGATTACTAGCAGCGATGAGGATGAAGATGAAACCGTGCGACCCTGATTATACAATTTTGGGGTCTCGCATCCCACTTTTTTCTCATCCCATCCCTTGTTTCCCTTAAAACAAATGAGAGAAAAATGAATATTTTTAGAATATTCCCTTTTTCTCATCTCCATCCCACAAACCAAACGGAGCCTTTATAAAACACAACCTAGGAGTCCAAACTAACTCTGCTTCTACCAAAGACTACTATAAAGTTTCACCTTCGGATTCTCAACTTGGTTCGAATCAAATCATGGAGCAGATTGCAACAGGATTTTCTTTTCAAACGAGCGCGAGAGGAAATTCAAGGCACTAACTAAAGTACTCTACACTTACAGAAGTTAGGGTCTGTTTGGTTCATGGAAACAGAGATTTAATATTGGAATTTAAATAGTCCATTCCATTCCAACTATTTGGTTGGACGAAATTGGAATTCTATTCTCATTTCACATTCTCCCATTTGAGAGCTCTCCCCCTCCCTTAGAAACGAAATTGGAATTCAATATCAATTCCCATTATGAATCAAATATACTATGGCAATAGACCATTCCGATAACTACCGACTGTTTGGGAAAAAAACAGATTTTTGAGCAACGGGTACTTTGCTATTCGCACTTTTGCAGTGCCAACAGAGTAGAGGCTGCTTTGCCATCTGCTCTGGCTTCTCCTTTTCCCTTGTTCCAAATGATTTGTCTGTCAATCTACACTAAAAAATTCAATTGAAGAGATGGGTCAAGAAACATTAGCCGCAGCTTCATCGTCATCTTCTTCTTCTGCTGCCACTTCGAGTCTCAATTAACCAGCCGAATGCTTGGATTCATGCTTATCAACGACTGTTTCCAAAATGTTAATCTTTCTCTAATTCTTTTCAGGTGCCCTTTATGGTTTCTTATTTCTAGTTTTAATTTCTGCTACTTTTCCTTCTACCTGAAAATTTGATGGTGAACCTGAGAACCCTTCAACCTTTTCCTTTCTGTACTCCATTTTTGATTTATAAGCGACTTGGATTTGGTGTTCAATCTTCTTTTATTGTTTGCTCTTTCTACTTCCTATCTGTTTTGTTGATTTCTGACTTGCCCTTTTCCTTTCTGAATTCTGGTTCGTTTCATAGTATTTTACGCTGAATGAATTCGTGGTTTCCGAATCAAATTTGGAACTTTTCGATTTTCTTGTGGTTTTCTGAGCAACCACATATCCCAGTTCCGATATCTAGAGTTAATCAAATTGATGCAGCGAGATTGGATGTTGAAATGGCTGCTATGTTGAAAGAACATTTAGTTAAGGTCATCTCTTTGATGAAGGTATATTCTGTTTCTGTTAGTTAATTTTTCTCCGAGGCCCTGTTGAATAAAGGAAAGCTGGTTGTTGCTTGATTGTTTCATATGGCATTTACTTCTGGTTCTTTCTTTTTTCTTTGGATTAGCAAGGATTAATATTTCTATATGAACCAGAACTTGATGCTTTTCTTAAGTTTCTTATTTGGAGATTTTCAATATGGTTGGATAGGCTTACTCCAGGGAATGCTCTCATGAATCTCAGGTACAGAGATGAGCGTACATCAGCCATCAGAAAAAAAGAAGGTAAGGAGGTTCAGACACCTCTTATCGCTTTTCATTTAATGAAACTACTTCAGAGAGTTATGTGATGGTTAAAATATTAACATGCTAACAAAAGAATGTTTAGCAGTTTTGATATATTACTTATTTTAAAGAGGGTCTTACCTTTCCATTTATTATGTTGCCACTGTTGGTGGTCAGTATACATGGGCTCGTTTGCAGTCATTTTCTGCCTTCCGTAGGTGGGGTGACTCAGAGCAGGCATCACATTGTTTATTTATCCAGGTTAAAGTAAAGTTTTTTTTTTTTTTTTTTTGTAAACAGGGATTGATTTTTTCTTGACATGCATTTCAGAGCATTTGAATGCCTTGCATGGGTTTTGATACAACATCTGGAGGGTGTCTATAGAGTTGCCTCCTTAGCAACCTGCTTATATTCCTTTTCACTGGAAGGTCATCTTTTGATTATCAAGCAAACTTTGCATAAATAATTTCAATTATCTTGCAAGCATGGAATTCCAAAATAAAATTGTGGGACTGGAAACAGAAGCGGTTACTTGTGAAAGGTAGAGTAGAGATTGAGTGGGTTCAAATTAAAAAGTTGAAATAGTTAAAGGATATCTCATATAGTGGGGGGGGGGGGGATTCAATTATGTATTTGGTACTTTCTACAAACTTTTTTGGTTTAACCATCTGAAGTATCAAGGTAGTATTGTGAAAGTTCAGTAAACTTAAGGTGTGGGAAGCCAAGGAATGGGGATATAAGAATATTCTTATGTATTCTTTCTTTTATTAAGAGAATTGCTTAAGATATAAGAGGATGTTTAAGACAGTATTCATGATTTATTCTTTCTGCTTGTGTTATGTGATACAGGTACAGGAGTACTGTTGAGAGAGTTCTCAGTGCAAGGCTTGTTTATGGGAGTCCCCACATGAACCATGCTGTTAGCTTTGAGTACATTAATCGACAATACTCCTTCAATCATTAGTTTGGAATTGCATTGATGGATAGAAGGTATAGGTGTTATTGGTTGCCTTGTCAAAACTCCTATATATTTCTAATTGATACCGAGTCGCCTTTCTCCTTCGAGTTGGCAGGCGACCCCCTATTCCAAGGTCAAAGCAAATGCAGGTGGTAATCTGTAATTGAAAGTTTAAATCAGCAATGTATGGCCTAAATCTTAAGGAAGCCCTTCTTAGGTGAGAATTAGGCTTTAACAATTATACTCAAAATGTAGATCGTTTGTATTTCTTGTTTGCACCCCTTGTGTTCCTGCTTTAGGACCTAGAAAACTTCCACTACCTACTAACCTACTATTGTTTCTTTGACTTTGTTTAATTTACAATCCTTAAATTTGTTCTATTGAATATCTAGCTATATTGTATGTATATATGTTGCTAAATCTTTACTTAATATTATATTATTATAAAATAAATTTCATTTATGTAGTTAGTGACAAGTGTTTGGTTCTCTGGGTGTGTAAATGCTTGGGTTATCATAATTTACTGTTTATATTATTAATGTTATAAACATAGTTATATTTATTTACTTATAAACATTAAAAGCTAAAAAGAATAGAGAAAATAAACATATCCAGATATTATGGTAACTTAAAATTCTTCTTATAAATTTGTATTAAGGGTATAAGGTGAAACGGAAAGGGAGAAGAGAAAAAAAATGAAGACACCACACAGGAGATTGTTTTCACCACAATCTTTGAACATTTAGATATAGTCTTTTGTTTATTTATTTTAATCTTCCTTTAGTTCTTTAGATGGAACAATTTTTCCTGAACGAAATTAGTTCTTGAATCTTGATATGTAGCTGCTCAGGTGGAAACTGATTTGAGCACTATGAGGGGGTCCCATCTAACTTAAATTGGCTACCTAGATTATGCTTATTCTTCCTTTATGTTTTCCTTTTCCTTTTCTTTATCATTCCAGAAACAGAATTGGCACGAATTTGCTAAATTTCTTAGATCAATGATTTTGTGAGCCTATTTTTCTTCTGTTATCTAAACTGGTCACTTGGTCTTATGTCATTCTTTTGAATGATCATCTCTTGTTCTGGACTTCCATTTCCTGTTCCTAGTTATCCATGCAAATCCATGTAGCAATTTTGAAATTTTCTATAATAAAAATGAACTATTTATTCTCTTACTTTTTGATTCATAGCTTTTGGATGGACTATGGCGTGTCAGCAGCTTGCAACTTGACATCTGCTTTAGATGTTTGGAAGCCAATATACTTTTGAAGAAGATTTCTTGATCACAGTTTTGTAGTGTCCTTTTATGGGCGCTACATGTTTGCATAAACGTGCTTTTTATCAGAATTCCTCCACATTAATTTGTTGTTTTTATTCATATGATTTCTATATTGCATTAATAATTGTTTGGAAAATGACTAGGCAAGTTGAGGTATCAATCATTTAATGACTGGTGCAAGTTTTCTAAGGTGCTAGAGGTGTCGTGTAGGGATGCAACTTGGGTTGGGCCAACCTGAAAGCTGCCTAACCAAACATGAATAAAATAGGTTGAGTTGGGTTGAAGATTGTGCAAGGGTTAGGGCTTGGAAAATGACACACACACATGTAATATGTGTGCTTGTATTATAAACTATTTATTATAAAATGTTGTTTAGGTATCATTTGCACATGTAATATGTGTGCTTGTATCAGTATGATAGTGTGTCTTTGTAAAATAAGAAAATTGTTTTGAGACCAATTTGCTTTGATAGTTCCAAATGTGATATCCCATGTTATTCATCTTCTATGCTCGATGACACAACATGTTTGGAACTGATTCATGGAATGGCTGTGTAGTGTGTTGGAAATGTTGCTATTGCTTCTTCCACTACTAAACTCATCATCCATAAAAAAGATATCTTTTCTCATCCTCAAAAGGATAAATCTTCTGATTCTTTAGGGGGCGAAACTGCATGTCCCATCTTCCAAGAAAACCCAACAATTTCGTTTCTTGCTGTTCCTTGCCAGCACAGGTATATCACAGCATATTCCCTTGTCTCTATTGTTCTTTCTTATTTATTTTGATAACTCTAGTGTGAGATGTGATTTTACCCTAGTTATGTGTGCTGTGATGCAAAATCTGTGTGTGGCTGTGGAACTGGAGAATGGATTAACCGTACCTGATAGCAGTTTTATGGGCTGTGGGGCCAATCATTTTGCTTCATGTCAGCTACAAAATGCATATACCCACAACCACTCAATCTCTCACTTGCATTTATGGCTGTAAAACAGCTATCAAGTTCAACTAATCCAATCTTGTGGAATTACTCAATTGTGCAGAGAATAAATAGAGAGAGGATTAGGCAATCCTTGTGTACACTAAAATATTGTATTCTAATAGGAAATGCTAGTAAGCGAGTTTATGCAACTATTCTTTGCCTTAAGACATGGTGGGACCTATGAAAAGACACTATAAGACAAACTTGGGCATGTCTTTTTACTAGCATTTCCCCTATAGGACATGGCACTTTTAATCTTCGAAACAATTGTTTTATTCACTTGGTGGCTGTTCGGTAACAGCTGAAGTGGTTGAATTAATGACTTGTTACTTTACCTTTGTGTGAGAAAATTATTAAGGAGGCTATAAGCTCCTTGATGGCTTAGGGTTGAAGCTAAAGTTGGGTTAATAACTGTACCTCCAAAAGACAAAACACAAATCATTCAGTTAAGCCACTTCAGACAACCCTAAATCTTATTTCTGATGCAAAACAATGCTAAATATAATTTATTGCACACAGGTACTGTTACTATTGCCTCCACACACGATGTGCTGCGACTGCATCATTCCAGTGTTCGAGACACAATGAGCCTATAATTTCCATGCAACGGCAGGGTGGAATAATTAACATTAGAATTCCCAAAACTTGATCAATTCAAAGGAAGCAACAAAATAAAAGGAGCAACACAAATGCAATGATGGGTCAAGATGCCTGATAAGGCCTAACATTGAACAATGTAATCAAAGTTCATTTGAAAAGCATCGCTATTTGATTATTCATCAGCAGCCTTCAGTCGTTCTTTCCAAGTGCTTAGCTTTTCTCTGGGCTTGGTTTTCAAGCTTCCATTGCTTCTCTCTTGTGTCTACTTCCAGCCACTGAATGCCACAAATCTGACATTTTTACTGTCTAATATTTGCGTAGTCCTTGTTTGCAGCGCTTTGGCAAAGGTTGAAGGGGGAATTGGTGCTCTTTGTTCCAGTTGATCGCAACCTGGAATGCTATTAGCCTATTAGTTCAATTAGCAGGTTGGCAGTCACCAGTTTTATGTCAGCTATAAGATGAAATAATGTCAATTGCCTTGGGAGTTGGCACCATTTAATGTAAGAATGGTATTCAGTATTCTAATCGATGACATTTCAATAGGTTTTGCTTGCTTACAGTTTCTTCGGCACATTAGAGATTTGTAGCAATGATACAACCTCTTAAGTCTTAAGGGTCTCATGGTGGCAGCCCTCCCTTTTTGGTGTCTTGATTTCTTCTTCTTACCCAATCTATACACAATCTAGGCGGATTTGGTTTGCTCTATGTCATTAAAAGAACTGAATTACACTCACACTTCCTCACTTAACTTTCATATTTACTTATCTCTTATTTTTATTCTATTGCATTGGCCTCAAGTTAATACAACCATCCAGTGGCGGAGCTAGGAATTTTCTCTTGGGGGGCCAAGTTAAACAAGAAAATGAGGTGAGGATAGGAGAGGAAGGCTGCGTATGGAAATATGGAAATGGGGTGGGAAGGTTCAGGTCTATTATAAATTTTTTAAAGAAAAAATAAACAAATTTTTTTAATTTTAGGAATTGGAGGAGCATTAGAGAATGATCCTTTAACACATTTGAGTTCTTTTTCTTCTTCTTCCCCCTCCCACCCCCACAAGTATACTTGGCTCCGCCCCTGCAACCATCCCAAATATTTTTTTTTTTATCCTTTTATCACCTCTCTCCCCACTTTATTTAAGAGGCGCAACTGGGGTCGGGTTGGGCTGAGAATTTCTTAAATGGGCCTACCTCATCTAGTTGAAATTCTAATAATTGGTCGACCCAACTTGCACCCCCCTCTGGCCAATTCAGATCCTGCCCGCAAGAATCCTACCCACATGAGCCCTGGGTAGGCATGGGTGGCATGCATTCCCCGTTTGAGGGAATGGCCATTCCCTGCTTCTTTCTTGGGAATGAAATCCTATTTCAGTTGATTTCAATTTTCATTCCGATTCCGACTCCAAAGAATTCCAATTCCGATTCTGGCTGTAAATCAAACAGATCTTAAGTATTTTTTTATGGTACTGCACATTACACATTAGGGGATTGAAGGGTGGGGGACAGAGAAGGAATGCATGTGAGGTTCACTGCTCTTACCATGGAGAGGGAGAACCTGCAGTCATCGGCTGTATGAGATTTATAACCCATTTTAAATACGTGGAAAAATCAATGGAGTTTAATGTGTGAATTTACGAAAGCTACTATCTATCTCCTTTGTTCCTCATACACTCAACTGTGTTGCCCATGTTCTGGCAAATGAAGTTTGGTTTTACTGTCTGGGCGGAAAACATGATTCTCTGCCTCTTGATTTTCTAGTCTCTGCACTGAGGAAAGATTTTAAGCAATGGAATCGCCTATTGGCTTTCTGAAGAAAAAAGACAGTTTAATCTTAATACCACTTGCAACACTCGCGCCCTACCCTTATTAAGAAACTGAATGCTCTCTCTACCCACAAATTGAAGACACAATCCTCGTGTATATTTTATTTGACTATCTCCCTATGAATGACAAGGGAGATAGCATACTCTCAATGTGTGCCTGTAACGTTTACAAATAATAAACTCGTATATTTGTCCCATATACCTCACAAATGCTCTCTAGTTTCTTGAGTCTACTCTTTTCCATGGTCCTTATTGTATATTTTATTTCTGGCGACATGCTAACCCACCCCCTCTCCCCGGGTCTTGTGTAGCCCTTTCTTTCCAATTACCAAAAAATTAAAGATTGCTTTAAAATTTAAATTAAGGTCTCACCCATCCCTCCACTGCAATGGCTGCTCATACTTTCTTTTGTTCCTTTTTCAAAGGTTGAGTCCAATTTTGCTTCTCCCATGACAAAAATGTCCTTGTGCACACCACTCCACTGAAGATTGAAGAACATGCTCAAGAAATGTTTTGTGCAATCTGGATCTCAAATGTGGGAGTGAATGAATATGATACAAGAAGATCTCACATTTGAAAAGTTTGATCAATCAAAACGATTCCTGTAAAATTTTGATGGGTTTTCATTGGTTAGTGTACACCTTAGTACAAGAGGTGTGTTTTAAGTGTAAGAGATCCAGACTCCCATCACCGGGGCTGCTAGTTCTCAAACGTTGCCTTCATTCTAAGTGAATGTAAAATTCAATCTGGTCCATGTGGATGCCTGTCTTCATTATCGATTTCTCTCTTTTCTTTCTTTCTTTCTTCTTCTTTCTTTATTATTATTATTATTATTATTTTGTGGGGTTGGAGAGTCATATTTGTGACTTTATGTGCAAAATAAATTGAGGCCTAGGGTTCAAAAGTGGAACCTAGAAAGAAGATCAACTCATTAGGTGGAAGTGGAACCATTTATATTCCAATTAACACATTACCTTGAGCTTGTCCAATTTTTTAGTACTTATGCTTTGTACTTAGAAAAAGCGTATTGAATACATTAATGTAAACTATGATGCAAATTGGGTTTTAAATAAAGAGACTAACTTTGCTTTGTTCATTCTTCAAGTGAGGAAAACATATCCTAGGTAGGTGAGTAGTTAGCTACACCACTTTCGGTGCCTCAGTCTTTTTTTCTCCTTTTGTTTATTGAAGCCACCACCCCCCCCCCCCCCAAATCCATCATCACATCTACTTCGTCTTCAATGGTCAACGAAGTCAACCCTTTGGATTAGATTTTGTAATTCACAATTCACAAATATGTCCAAACTATGCAAGCATCTTCCCTCCCTTGGACAAAACAAAAATTGAATATATAGGGCGGTAGACTAACAGGAGTTGATTTCTAAAGTGATAGCATTTTTAGTCAATGCAGCCTTCCAAGTGCAAGATTTTCCAGCCTCTTCTGTAACAAAACTCATGATTTCATCTTGTACAGCTTCAAGGTTTTAACAAACATCCTTTTTTTTTTCTGGGATTATATATTAAACAAGGCCAAAGATTTTGCTCTTGGAAAGGAGGGAGGGGAGGGGGTGCCCTTACTTCTTTTCATAACTCCTTTTATCTCATCGTTATTGGCTAATTTCAGAAAGTTTTAGCATTTGAATATGAAAATAAGTAATGTATTTTTATCACTGTTTCAATCTATTGGTTTACGTGACTCGTGGTATGCTAACTGGTTTACTTCAGCATTGATATAGAATCAATTCCCGCAACCATTGATTTGGGGAAAAGAGGATTATGAATGGTGCGTGGTATCAAATATCGAAAAAGAAAAAAACCTATTGATTAGAGAGTTGAACCGCTGACATGTTCACCCAGAGAAAAGATTGATTCAACCTCCATCCGGGTTTTAAAACCATCTGTCATGAGAGAGCATCAATAGAAGATGAAATAACACTACTGTAAATTTACACGGTTTTGCCAGGTTTCACCAATAGAAGATGAAACCATCTTTGGCGGTACTTAAGAGGAACAAGCTGAAATGACAGTCATCTGTCAAAGTGATAAAGAGGATAAATGATTTTATAGTTAGCGGAAATCGAATAATGTTAGAACTTTATTTCATCTTTCTATCAATGGATTTAGGATATAAAGGTAAAATCTTTTGCTAATCGATACATTTCAACTACCGGAGAATGATCTATATTAATTGAAACTCTTGTTATAATAATATGGTGTTAGCTCTCTCTCTCTCTCTCTAATTCCTCAATCTCAGGATTCATATACCATTTTCCTTGGGGAACCCAATTGCCAAATAAGATCTCTCAGTTAGGCCAGAAGAAGACCTCATTGACGTCAAAGGTACCGGAACATAAATGGTGGAATTAATTGAAAGTAGAATTGGAAATAATATTAATAATGTACCCAAGGTTTAAAGTATCGATATTGTTATATATAAACTTATCATAATTTCATTAAAAGAAAAGAGCCATACAATCTGTCAAAGTATTGAGTGTATAGTATTGTATCATTTATTTGGCGATACACCCATTTGAAGGCATTTGAAGAAATTCTTTATTTTAATAATTAAATAACATAAAAATGGCTCCACTGTGAAATTAAAAAAACTAAAATATAAATAAAAAGCATAAGGTTTAAACTTCAAAGTATCAATACACCCTTTCCAGTGTATCGGGGTGGATCCATATTTTGAACCTCGAATTCAAAAGAGTCATGGGCTATTTTCAAACCTTTTGTAGAACTGCAATTTATTCATTCATGTATCTCTATTAATTAACGAATTAATAAAAAAAGCTAATATTAGGGTTTATGCTTAGTCATGAAGCAATCCGACATTATTCTTTTGGGACCTACAGTGATCATATCCTCAGGATGGCGGCAATGAAGACAGAGATGATCTTCATTTTTGACATGGCATGTTAAGACTAAGTTCCTTGCAGCTGAAGAGAGGACTTCTTGCCTAATAGTAATAGTTGGAAGTGGAGTTGAATGTGAATATCTTATTTCCTTATTTTCTCTCTCAATGTTTCAGGGAAAAACTTTGGTTGTTTGAGAGCTTCATGTGCATATACCCCATTCAAGTTCCTTATTAGTCTTTTTTTTTTTTTATTTGGTTAAAGGAATATTATTGTAAATACTATTTTACCCCAGACCCATGGTAATGTATTATGTGCATGAAGCACCGAACAGCCAATGTTTTCCCATGTTTCAGTGGGTCATTTATGGGAAATTTCTCTATTTTGTTTAATTATCCCATAGAGAAGCAATACATCTGGTGGTCTCCCATTCTACTGAAAATATTTCGACAAGGGCAACCCACGCTTAGCTAAGGCATGGGTTCTTTGATTTCCCTTTTTACGAATATGTAGTTGAGATGGCCACTCGGTGTCCCTCCAAAAATTAAAGGTGTGGGATCAAACCTGTAGTATAGGCTTTCTGTGATAAGGTCAGTAGATTTCATGTGCACCCTGCTCTGTCTCCACTCCTGAACTCTGTTGCAATGTGTATTATGTAATATAAAAAAAAAGTGTTATGACTATGATACTAGAAAAACTTATAATCAAAGAACCTGCACTATAAAAGTGGTAATCAATCAGGTGGTATTTAATTATTTATTAAAATTCACGGGGTGATTGATTAAGACCCTTCCGGTATTATGTCTTTTTAGGAGAATATATTTTTCCTATAAAAAATTAAAAAAATGTAAAAAATTATGGAGTTTCTGCATATAAGGAGGATAT